TCTTACCAACATTATTATAAATAAATTCAATACCGTCTCGGTAAAAATGTTTTTCTTATACAATTATTTTTCGTCTTGAATTTAAATTCAACACATTCATTGTAGACTTAATAGTGGAACTCTACTCTGCAATGATGACGCGCATCACCCAAACCTGATATAGTAGGAACAAACTGCAGTTCCTCCTTGCTGTCGGTTCTAACAGGAAAAAAACCTGATATAGTGGATATACGTATCATATTATGGCTATTTTTTCGCCTAAGCGACTTCCTCGATTTAATATTATTTTATTTTATTTGATGATTATACGCCCCGAAGAGCGATATTATAACTTTAAAAAATGTTTACTACGCCTACAACATATTTAAATATATAAATATTATGTGATATTATTTATTTAATATTTAATTAATAGTTATGATTATAAATTTGTTATAGGATACAACAAATAAGTCAGACGCCTATAGAAATTACAACACGAAAAATGTGGCATGTAAATCGACAAAAAATAATTAACTTTCATTTTGTATATACTCGTATATATTTTTTTAGTATTATTAAGTACTTATTTACAAAAAGTGTACAAGAACTGAAAACAATTTATATTTATTTCAAGATCGTTTGTTTTGGATTTTTTCAGCCTTGACTTTTGTATTTATCACAAACTAAATTTGAGCACATAATATACAAGCTACTCATGGCTAAGGCATTTTACTACTTTATTATTATTATGTATATAGACGACATAGTACACATTTACCGACTAAGTATATTTGTAACATGTTTTTATAAAATAATAAACAGTTTTCTCTATTGGTATTTTTACTAGTTATATTCCTGTACACGATTATTCAAATTAACTGTATATTTTTTTGAAATAATGCAATGCCTGCTAAATAGGCATACGAATAACATAATTTATCGTTAGGTAACTGTCTATATATATAAACATATATATTAGTACAATAGTACCTACCTATCATAGATTATATTCCTACAAACTATAAGGACACTGGATAGGTAATTTAAAAAAAA